TTTCGGAGCTCCATACAAGGAAACCTTAAGCTCGCCCGAGCAAAACAGTGCCATAGCAACAGCCTGAATCCAAAAAAGTGTCACAAGGAAGATTCTGAGCAGCATTAGAGCTGGGTGCGCTCTGAGCGCAGGGACCAAACGGGAGATTTTTAATCTCGCCTTGGCAGGCAGAAGTCAAAAACCTGATAATTTTTTAAAGAGATGAAGCGTGTGGTGAATGTAGGGGGATGGTTCTCTCTCTCAGGAACACACCACCACCCTGTCTGAAGTCCATCGAGCTTTAAAACGGCTCCAAACCATCCTGCTGCAGCCTGTGACCCAGTCTATCTGCATCCAGTGCCCCTGAGGCTGGAAGACACTGAAGGAATCACTTTAAAGTGAAAGGTGGGCCAAGAGGAGCCCCGAGAGGGATGGACGAGCCAAATCCCAGGAGCCACCTCGCAAGGATTAGGGAAGTCCGACACCTGAACAACCCATGGCCCTGAGAGGGCAGCGCAGGCAGGAACGGGGCCGGCGCAGGCAGAGCCGTGCCACAGGCACCAGTGAAGGCAAGAGCTGCCCAACCATCGCCCCTGCCAACACCCCCGCCGACACGCAGGGGCTCTTCCGCAGTGACCGCTCAGGCTCGAGCTGAGGAAAGGTCCTGCTCCGGCTCCTCCGAGCACCTGCAAGGCCCCCGCGCCTCGGGGGGCAAAGGATGGGGCAGAGGAGGCCTGATGCTCTCTGGTTTTGGCAATGACACAACTCCCCTGGCACGAAGGGCACCTCCCTGGGCAGGGTGATCGCAATACGACACAGAGGGATGGAACATCCGTCCGGACAGCCCCAAATCCTTCCAAGAAACAGCCTGGGTTTGTTTTAGAGACCCACTGGGAGAGAAGCATCTCCTGGCCCTCCTGCTGTCCCCATGGCAGCCGTTTGCTCCCTCACCCCTCCGGTCCAGGTTGCTGCTGCCAACGACACTCTTTTGGCATGATGAGGAGCTGTGTAGGCTGGAGCCAGTGAACAAACCCAAGCGTGCTTGTTTCAGCCGCCCTGGATCAGGGAATGGGAGGTAGGGGAGTGCGGACTTCCCAAATGGAAAAATACAGGATGAGCCACGGGGAGGGCAGCACTCTGGAAAGAGAAGAGAGTTCAAACTTCTGGGTCCAACTAACGCCAGCCGCAGGCATGTGCTTCCCAAGTCCCTTGCCCGGAGGGAATAGAAATGGCAAAGGAAAATTGATGGCATTGCTCGTGGCCACGAGCAGGGAAGGAGAGTTCCTGCCTGAGCCGAGGTGGGAGGCAAGACCACCCTGCCCACACAGGCAGGCAGGGCGGGGGGCTGGCCGCTCAGCCAGCCCAGCCCCAGCTCCCTTCCGCCCAGAGCAGGGCCTGCCCCAGTTCCCAAGCGCCAGAGCCACCATTCCAGCAGCTCCTGCCTGCAAACGAAGGCAGGAGACACTCCAAGCCAGAAGGAGTGACCAGAGGAGGAGTGTCCATCCCCAGCCAGGCTCAGAATCCTGGCTGAGTTCCTAGTCAGTGGAAACGGAGAGAAAATCCAAGGGAAGTGCCATGCGGAGCCAGGAAACGCTCCTGGGGCTGGAGCAACAGGACAGAGTCGCAACAGGAACATGGCCAGCTGGGACCATCCGTCCCCACCAGCCACACACCAGTGCCAGAGAAGGAGGCACAACCGTATCCTGCTCCTTGAGTGCAAAGGACAAGGAGCCTTCCTGCTCCAAAGACAGCCTCTCGGGAAAGCTGGGCATCCCGAGGGAGACACTGACACACCATTAACCCCGCCTTACCTGCTTGCCTTTCATGATGTGCTTGGGCACAGGCACTTTAATCTCCAGGTCGCTGTAGTCCTGGGACCAGGCATAATTCTCTCGCACGGCTCCGTTGTAGCTGTCGGGATCTGTCTGGAACTGCTCCTGTCTCCTGCGGGGGGAGAAAGGGGTGACACGCTAAGTGTTGGAGAGGTCAGAGCCTGGAGAGAGCAGGGTACAAGAAGCAGAAGGGGAGGGCAGAGGCTCTGCTCGGCCGCCCTGCGAGCCTCCCCAGCGCTCAGGTTGATGCCCAGTCTCTCCCTTGCTGCCATCCCTGTCCAGGAAAGGAGAAGGCTCCAGTTCGCAGCCCCAGGATGCAGCACCCTGCCCACTGCAGGACTCGCACACTGCCCTTCCAGTGTGCCGCAACAAAAGTCAGGCTTCTGACAGGACAGCTGGTGAGACACGGGATAATTTGGCTGCCCAGAGGGTGCAGAGCTGGCCCCCGGCTAGTTTGGGGTGCCTTCGCGACTAACTGCTCCAGCACGGAGCTCCTCTTCCCCTCCTCCTCCTCACTGCATTCACCATGCCCAGAGGAGCTGGAGCGAGGGATGCTGGAGGGGGTGCGCTGTCTCCTGAGCCACTGCTGGGGTGGTGGCCGGTCACTGCGACCACACTCACCATGAGAAACCAGAGCTGGTCATCCTCCTCCCAGCTCGAGTGTGTTCGGGAAACCCCCCAGCTGACGCACTGGAAGGGACAACAGGACAAGGGGATCACGGGCAACACTGAGCAGAACACAGCCACTTCCAGCAGCGGAAATCCCAGGAGAAGGAGGCTGCGGCGGTTGTGAGGGTAGGATGGGATGTATCAGATCGATGAGCCATAATGAATACGGTGTTTGCAGCCTGGAAAGGAGCTCTCCATCACACCTGTCTCCCTTTAAACCGCTGGAGGTTGAGGTTCTGCTCCGTCAAAACGTCAGGGAGAAGGCTTGCACACCAAGCGGAACCCTCCCCAAAGGCGGCTGCGGTGCTAACCAAAGGCAGAGGTATTTTAAAGCGTTTGGGCACCTCGTCCTCAGGCTGGAGCTCTACAAACACGGGGCTGCAGTGACTTACGTAATGGGGGGAGCTGGTGATGAGTGGCCCTGGGGGGCAGATAGCCCCAGGGACCATGTCTCCCCACGCCCCGCCGTCTTCCTGACACCCCCACACTGAGGGGCCTCGCTGGCACGGGGCGGGGGTGGCTCCCTGCGGCGCAGCGCCCTGCGGATTACGTAAGACGCGTCGGGTTTAATTCAATTAGGCTCTAAGGCGGACGGAGGGTGCTGTCGAAGGGGCTGTGTGTACCCCCCCTTCCCCTGCCTCTTTGTTTCCTTGGTTTCAGGAGGTTTTACCCACCCCGTCACGGCCACCCGCGCCCTGGGCCGGTTTTGCTCCTTCTCTCCCGGCAGCACCAGGGACCGGCAGCACCTGTGGGCTCCCAGCCTCAGGCCGGCGATTTTTGGGGGGCAGCGCATCACTCTTTTCGGGCATCTTGGCCTTGCTTGGCAGTCGCACATTGGATGCCCATCGCCATGGAAACGGGGTTGGCATGGCAGCGCCGATCCGGCGCTGGCGCGGGTTGGCTCCAGCTGTCGGTTTCCCAACCGCCCCCGGACCGTAGGAGTTGAACGGGCTGGAGGGCGAGAGGGGGAATGCGCGGGTGACCGGGGTCTGCGGGCCCCGCTCTCCGCCCACGGAAGCAAACGGCTCGGCACATCCCTGAGCATCGTGTCCCCAAGTACCGTCTCATGTTCCCCCAGGCCCTCACCCAGAGCCAACCTGCGGTGGCACCTGGCCCCGCTCTCCCAGAGACCTGCAAAGGCGCAGGCAAGGAGGAGGGAGGGTGCTCTCCTGGGTGAGGGTCCGAGGGCTGCCCGGGGCAGCTGGCATGAGGTGCCCTCGCAGGACATGTCCCCCCCGTGCAGCGGGGTCTGCACAGGCACAGCCGAGGCTCTGCCCTCGGCCCCTCGGGCTGGAGCGAGCGTGGCCGTGGCTGCGCTGTGAACCACAGCACAGATCTGGCTGGGGTCTAAATCCTGCCAGGTTTTTTACCCCTATGAGCATTCCCTTCTAGGCAGCGTGGGGCCCTTTCTGCTCCTCTGCGGCCTTCACGGGCAGCTGCCTGTGGGGGTTTTTCGACATCCCACAGTCCTGCCTGCGGCATCCTCCAGTTCAAAGGCACCCTCCTTCCATGAAAAGCCCGGCTTTCGGGCTCGGTGGCCGCTCTGGCCGAGGCAGAGCTCACCATGCTCATTTGATGCCAGCGAGATGCCTGGGAGTCGCCATCCCAAGAGCCAGCGTCACCCTGGCACCCAGCAAAGAACCAGACAAGAACAGCACGTGGCTATTTACTTCCAGGCTGCGCCGCTCCTGGCCCTCCCCAGGAAAATCTCAGAGGCAGTGAGGACAAGCCTGGCCAAGGCTTGCAGAGCGTCAAATATGGGAGAAAACCCATCGGTGCACAGACCCCAGCACAGAGCCCAGAGCAGTTGCTCATTGCCACAATGCCACCAGCTCCATCCTTGTGTCCCTTCCTCGGGAGCAAAATGCTGGGGCCGAGTAGAGCCCAGCCAGATGCGTCCTGGATGTTTTAGCCCTACCAAGAGCTCGCCGAGCGTGATTTCATTGCCCCCTGAGGGCACGAGTGGCTTGATGGCAGCCCCAGCAGAAGTTGGTGTTAATTGGGTTACATCCACAGGGAAACTGAGGCAGGACTTGCTCTGCAGTGATGCTGCCAAACTCCTCTTTGTGTGGCTGAACAAGTGACAGCAGTCGTCCTGCCAGCCCCGACCGACCCCACGGGACAGCTCTGTCCTCGCTCCCTCTGTGCCGTAAGTAGAGCAGCGCGCCGCGTGACGCAGGGACGTTTCACGGCCCTCCCTGCCCCCATGCACAGGCTGCCGGCGACGAGCTCTGCCGCCCCCGGCCTCACCGCCAGCCCAGCCTGGCTGGGCAACACTTGTCCTGGCCAAACCATCCTGTGCTCAGCCGGCTTCAGTGTGGAGCTTCCCTTCATGCCTAAACCTCCCTCCAGCCACGGCGGCTCGGCGTGGGTACCAGTGCCATCACCTCTCCGCTCCTTTCCTCCCTAACAGCCAGCCCAAAGCCCTGCATCCCTTCCCACAAGTCACCACTGCCCATCTCTGCTTCTGACCTTCCAAATCCTCGGATGTGAAACTAATGGGGTCCCAGAACAGGATCACAGAGGGACCCCAGGAAGTCCCAGTAAACTCCCCTGCAGTGCAACTGCCTGCTCTTGCACAAATGAGGATTCGGGGTGGCAAACACAGGCCCCAGCCTCGTTAGGCGTCTCTGACAAGCAGCTCACAGCCCTACCATCTCCTGGAGCAACTCTGCCTTTCCTGGAGGTTTTCCAGCCGGATCCTTGCCTGCTCCAACTGTGCTGGGCACACGCCACCCTTCGTGCTGGCGGCACTCGAGAAATCGGACCCAGCTCCACGGCTGGGAGGCAGCTTGACAGCTCGCAGCGAGCTGTGCCACCCCACCGGACACGGCCCCCCTTTTTTTTCAGCCACAGCCGTCCCTCGCGTCACTTCAACAGCACCGCCGTGTAGCGGGCGAGAGAAGCTCCGTCCCGAGCCCCGTGGGCAGGAGACACCCCCGGCCCCACAGCCAGCGGGGGAAGATGAGGGCCAGACACAGAACACGGTGCAGCTGGATGGCGATCCTGCCGGCAGCCCGGCGATAGCAGAGCCGTTCCTGGTGCGATGGTCAGCTCGCCAGGACGCCAAACCGCCCGCCGGGCCGGGGCAGGTGGTGGCAGGGCTGAGGAGAGGGAGGGTGACAAAGCGTCAGCTTTTAAACCCAAGGGTTTGGCACTGCGTGCACTTGGCTGCCGGGTGGTGGGGATGGTGGGGGTGGGTCTGTGTGTTCTGTCTTGTTCTATTTTTGCTCGCAATGTGTCATTTTGGGGGAGGTGAAACCTTTAACAATGCGCCGTCGAGAAGCAGCCGATCTGTTTTCCACTCCTAGGAGCCGCAGCGCACGGCTGCGCTGTCACCGGTCCCGGAGCCACTCCCCTCGCGCGAGGTGAGAGCACCGACAGCGAGAGGGTGCCGGGACCTGAGGAAAGGTGACAGTGTCACCAGGACGTGCTGCTCCACCAAGGCTGGCCGAGGCAGAGCCGGCCCCGTGCGCAGGCTGGATGCCCGAGGGTTGAGCCCCATACACAGACTTCCGGGCATCCCTTATTCCAGGATTTCCAGCTCTGTGGGTTGGTGATGCACGATGAGCCGAGCGATGCGGAAGCGGCAACAGAGCAATCCTTCCCTCTGCACGCTCAGCTGAGCGCACGTCTGTCCTCAGTGTGCAGCAGCTCCAGCACCAGCTCCGGACAAGCAGCGCCGGCCAAGCCGCCGAGCGCCGAAGGATTTGGTTTAATGTTCTGTACGATAAGAAGTAGGACAGCTCACCAGGTCCCTCTTCGCTGAGGATTTTTGGTGCAAGAACGTGAAGTTGAGGACTAGATACAGCAGCACGGGAGCAGCCACCCTTCGGCCTGATGCTGCAGGCTGAGGGGGTGTGGGGGGAAGCGTCACGGGAAGGAGTTAACGTGGGCCTAATCCCAATGGACCTGTTTTCTTTCTCTCTATAAGAAGAAGAAAAAAAAAATCCCAAGGATTTTCAGAACTCCTTAAGGAAACCGATCCTCTCAACCTGGAGCATGTCAGCTTTCTGATGCAGAGCCCCACTCTCCTGGGAAGCAGGCCGATGGAAGTCTGGGATACCAGGGTTTGCAGAATCAGTCATGCCAAGGCTCGCCGGGACTGGGGACCCTCCTCAGCCAGCGCTGGCTCTCTGGCTGAGCCGAGCTCAGGGGACGGGTCTGCACCTTGCCAGCACCGCCGTGGCTGGCAGGCGCCCTCCATACCTGGCATTCACAAGAACCTCCCCGGGGCCAACACTGCTGTTTGTGCTCAGTCAAGGTGAATTATTTAGGCAGCGTTAAGGAAGATGTGTCAAGCCAGTTAAGTGATGCAGATGTGGAGGTGTGTGGAGAAGAGAAACAACCGCGACAGCCGAAGGCGGGTGAGTGGGACTGGCTGAGGCCGATGAGGATGATGTGGGGAGGAAGCCGGGCCGGCACTGCAAAGCAACCAACTTGTATGTGGAAATGGAGACCCAGACCCGCTCCCTTCCACAAAGCTGCTCCCAACAGAGGGATTTGTAACAGTCCTGCCCTACGTGTGCTCTACCATCACCAGCACATCCCATAAGCACATCTCAACTGCAACTGCGAGCCTCACCCCTCTGTGACAGCCTCCTTCCGAGTGGGGAAAACAGAGGGGAGCGGTGTTGCAGAGTTACCCTGCCAGCAAACAGCAGAGAAACACCCCAGCTCTGCGTTTCAACCACTGTCAGAGGCCCCGTGCGATGCACGAAACCTTCTCCAAGCTCAAGAGGTTGCCAAGAATGGAAAGATCTCATTAAGTAATAATGAAGTTCCGAGCAAGTAGGAAAAGAGAAAAGCAGGCACAAGGCGTCCGCGTGCCTAACCCAAATAAGCATGTAGCGAGCGGGGCCTTCCAGGGAGACGCACCGCACGCTGTCAATCCAGCCAGCATTTATTGCACTGATCAGACGTTTGGATCAAGGCTGTCGCTCCATGACAGCAGCCTAGAGAGAGCGGCGTCCATCAGCATAATTAATCCCGCATCCCTGGCACTGCGATGACTCAAGGAGGCATCAGCAAATTCAGGAAGAGAAGCCACCGCTGACACGCAAGGGCCTGGGGCAGTGCTGTGCTGCAGGATGCCTGGCACCACCGCGGGGCTGTAGTCCAGAGCTTTTCCCCTGACTCGGCTGGAAACCCCTGCCCTGGGGTGGGTTTTTCCAAGCCATACGCCTCCAACACAGCTCTCAGGACCAGTGCTGGCAGGAACTGAGGTGAGCTGGAAGGGCCCTACCTCCTGCATGCCATGGCCCCACCATCCCTGCCTCAACCAAGCAGCAGCGTTCACATCTTCCTGTAGCTCGCAGCCAGCACCGCTCGGCTCGAAGCATCTTGCTGGGCTTCCCAGCAAGTGGAGAGGACGAGGTAGAGGAGGACGAGAGGAGCATTTACAGTCCGTGCCCCCAAACCTGCTGCAATGTGCTCTGCTCTGCTGCTGCAGGAAGCCCAGGGCTGCTGGGAACCAGCGCTGTATCAGCAGCCACCGTCCTGCCCTGGCAGTGACTGGGTCACTCACCCAGGCTCTTGCTCCTGTCAGATCCCTGGCAGCCTCCGGGCCTCCACACCATCATAAATCCCCTCTCCCTCCTGGGGAAGCACCCTGGACCTCACCCGCATCCAGCCTCCCTGCCACTAACGGGTCTGCATGCAGCCCACCGTGTGGAAACCGCCGCAGAAGGGGGGCGAGGGCCAGCCCAGCGGGCAGGCGGCAGGCCCACGGCAAGGCCCTCTGCGGTGCCATTAAAGGCCATAACGGCACCAGCACACACACTGGAATACTGA